AAGTAGTATATCCGTTAAGCTAGCACCCATAACACAAGCATTAAGTTGCTTACTTTGGGGCTAGCTGGCGCTGTGTGAAATTGTCCAAAGATTATTTATTTATTATTTACTAGCTTTCCGCCCGCGGCTTCGCCCGCGTGGAATTTAGTCTGTCACAGAAAAACTTTATCGCGCGCGTCCCTGTTTCAAAAACCGGGATAAAAACTATCCTATGTTCTTTCCCGGGACTCAAACTATCTCTATGCCAAATTTCATCAAAATCGGTTGCGAGGTTTAAGCGGGAAAGCGTAACAGACAGACAGACAGACAGACAGACAGACAGAGTTACTTTCGCATTTATAATATTAGTTGGGATTATTTACTGCAATAGCCTATGATGTTATGTGAGATGCAGTCTAGGATAGTAGATACCTGCTAATCTAAGTTATTATAATGGTATTACAATTAGTTGCAAAAATATTGCATAATGTGGCTATTCCCCCTGTAAATTTTTCTTTAATTAAGATTAATGATTACTTTAGAAGACGATAAAATGCATGAACTCTACCAAATTATAATTAAGTCCATTAGTGCAGCTTAGTAAAAATAGTAAACAATGTCAAATACTATTATTATGTCAATTACCTACGCATAGTTTACTTTATGATCCGACAAGATTTGCAATTATCTAATTCAGTGTTTCTTTAACAATCGTAAATAAATGTCACCAAAAGTGTCGTAATCTAAATTTATTGCTGCTTAATTATTAAGGGGGTCCTTAAAATTGTGCTTGATTTTCTAAGGGGTCCGTGGGCAAAAAAGGTCAAGAAACGCTGATCTAATTTATTTTATTCATTTATTCTTTAATGCCTTATAAATCGGTAGCTACATAAGGCGAACTTAATTATTTATGAATAAAAATAGCTAAATACGGAAGAGTTAGTTGAGGTGGCGCCAAAAGTGAAACTAATCGTATCAACGTAGAATACAAATGCAATCCAGCTTTTGTACAGTCAACAGGCTCTACATTTTTATTGAAAAATAGTTTTTAATTTTGAGACGCAGAATGTTAGAAGATTTTGTAGAGCTATAAGAAGAAGAAGATAGTGTGTAAGTAGAAGATTTTAATAATCGTATAGTTCTTGCAACTCACGAAGGCGAGTAAGCTTTACTTGTGTGTGTACGTGTACATGCACATAGCGATAGTGTAATGTCTGTCAAAACTTTTGAAAAAAGAACACATGTAAAGTTCACTCGCCTTCGTGAATTGCAACAACTATTTCCTGAATAAGATACAAAGTGTAGTTTTCTGAATAAAGTAAAATAAAATAAAGCAGTAGTGAAATCACATCATAAATTGTATTATCATAAACACGCAGCGGTATTAATTTTGAACATAGCCTAGCTGATAACTGCTTGTAGACAATGAGACATTAAACCGTCATAGCAAATTACGAGCTATGCGAATGCTAACACAAGTAACCAGGTAAACTCTACCAGGGCTGGCACGTACAAAATCAAAATCAAAAATATTTATTCAGTTTATTTAGACCATAAGTGGCACTTATGAACGTCAAAATATAGTAAATAATAAAAAAAAGACACTATAGTTGTTGCAATTCACGAAGGCGAGTGAGCTTTACATGTGACTCGCTACTGTTCGTTTTTTCAAAAGTTTTGATAGACATTACACTATATCGTTATGTGCATGTACAACGTACACACACAAGTAAAGCTCACTCGCCTTCGTGAGTTGCAAGAACTGTAATTAATTTACATGTTTACTAATTTTCCTGAAGCTAACTTTAAACTGTTTGCGGAATCTGTAGGACTTCGTATGTGAGAAATTGTAATTTATGTTGAAACGCTCGTAGGAAGCCCCTCGTAAAACTATGAAGTGAGGAAACGTGAAGGTAAGCAATAAATATTAATTTACGTAAGTCATTTAATATCTGTGATATTTCACAAAATTATAGGGTGCTAAGTTTAATGCTTGGATATCCAAGGGTGTAGAAGAGAATACGAGTATAATTCCTTAAAAACCCGTATTATGAATGACATTTTTAATTATTATGTGCTTCAATCTTAAGCATAGTTTAATTAATTGGTAAATCAATACTGTTGTTTATTCTGTTTATCTGACCTCAATCAGTCAACAGAGAATTTAAGCTTGGGTTTTAATCTTTGAGATTTCAGTGTTAATTCATAAAACATGCCTTACGCTGGATTTCACCATCTTAGTTTAACTTTGACAAGCGTCAAATATCTGTCAAACTACATACAAAAATCACCGGTTATCGTTATAGTTAGGTAGTGCAACTCAGCCTCATTGTAATCGATTGAATTAAAATCGAGAGGAACCAACCCTAGACCGCCAGGTACACGGATCTTGCCAAGAATGGGTGTGTGGCCGAATCGTAAATTTGGCGCTGCGCAGACTCAAGCAGCGATGGCCGCCGCGCCCTGGTTTATATCGCAGGTGGATCAGATCGCCACTAACTTGTTCCTGCTAACTGGCTTGGACTAGAATGAGTCTACAGATAATAGCAGAGCCCAAATGATACTTCATACTTGGAAACGTTAGATTGGTGGAAGAATAATGGTCGACGGAAAAGGGATATACAAAAAATGCCAATTGCTAGAAGTACACTACGATGAGTATGAGCTTTTGCTGCATTACCTACGACCAATTTAAATTTCTAAAGACGCATAAAATCTGCCAGCTTCACTCATCGATATGCTTTACAGACAAAACTCGCTATCCAACTCCTACTATTAACCTGTAACCTAGACAGTGCACCAAGAAAACTGCAAATAACTATCATCAAGTGTCTATAGATTTTTACGCTCTTCTCATTTATTCCCATATTTTTATCAAAATTCGCTTTCATCTAATGTTCGTGGCAAAATTAAACACTACTGTTAAATATAAAATGGGCGGACTCGGAGCGATGATACGATTGCAGGTGGACGGCCCCTTACGCTCTGGTTCATATTTTATATGCCAATGCGCAGCTGAGATTGGAACTTGTCCGTGCACTTGTTACTTTAAGAGCTTTTTATAAATTTAATTGCATCACATTACGTTACATAATGTGCTCCGCAACAGGTTTTGCACGCTCTCGTTATGATTAAGGGATTGTAAAAAATATATTAACAACTTGCAACATACACCTTTATATGGTAATCCCGTGACTACCTCACAACATTGCATTGCGTTTTACGGCTTGTACCTTACGCTTATTATTACTTATTAGCTGAATATTTTCAACAGAGATTTAACGAACCGAAGCATTCCTCGGTAAGTGCTACTTTATTGCTAATAGTACCGGAAATTAATACACACCCGTTTTGTGCGATGAACATTTATTGTACATAGACCCGGCTGCATAATTAAGTAATAAATAACCGGCCAGGAGCGAGTTGGACTCGCCCACTAAGTTTTTGTACTGCCATTTTACTGTGCTAGAGATTCTGTAATATTCTCCGGGTATCGAAAAAGGGACGTCTGATTATGACATAGGAGGTGCCTTGAAATTTAGGCATTAGGTGCCATAGTAACTCATTCAGATAAATTAATTTTCAGAAAACTCAAAATCAGACGCCAACTGACGGAAACTCGGAAATACATATTAATTTTCCGAAACTTTTATTAGCAAGTATGTTGAAGAAAAACCGGAAGAAATTGTAGCGTTCACGACATTTCTAGATGAAAATTTAGCTGATCATAAATAAGTTTCGACGAAAATGTTTTACAGACTGAACTCCCCTTACAATAGATATTAAGTTTAATTAAAACATCTGGCGGTCGTACCATCCTTTTCTCGAAGCAATTCAGGCCATTTTCGACCGCCTGTAACTTCGTTGTGGATAAAACTAAAAGGCTGAATTTTCATTAGCTATGCAGGCATTGTAAAGACACGGTATATTTCAAATGTCATTCAATTTGAACCAGTAGTTTAAGAATTATAACGGGTCAAAGTTTCTTAATTTTGTCACTCACTGACTGACTGACTGACTCACCGATCATCAAAATTCTAAGGCACTTCTAGCAGACCTAGAAGCTTCAAATTTGGAATATAAGTAGTGTTTGGTGTATGAATCAAGGAAAAACTAAAATATTTGGGGGCACGGTAGTGCAACCGCCAAGTCGAGTAAAATTTTTCAATTTAGGTCCAGTTTTCTAGATACATAACTGCTGTGTACAAAATACAAAAAGAAATGAGATCCCATCAAAAACAATACTTGTCAAAAAAACCAAGTCTCGCAACTGAGTTGCGAGACTTGGTTTTTTTGACAAGTATTGTTTTTGATGGGATATACCTTTTATGGAAGACCCAGCAAACCAAAGTACTGTTACGCATTTCACAGCATGTTACGGAGACTCTACAAAATGTATCGTCTGTTTGTGAATGTGCTACGTTACGCATTACGGTTTCATTCATTACGATTATTTCATATTTTTACACTAGATAATTAATATGCAGATCATCATCCATATTAATGATATAAACTTTAGTTTATTCATACGATATCGCCACCATCCCCTCACCTATTTATGGAAATTGTACTGAATACGTAATTAATAAATTAAATAGTAGCTATTTTTATCATCGTCTAAGGCCAAGGTGCCATGAACTTGACCGTACCTACTTAATGTAGGGTTAATCGTATAAAAACTAAATTAATACTTGTAATATCGCAGATTATATCTCATTAATGGTCTCTTCCATTAATTAATTAAAGGTTTTTTCATCGACCTGTTCTTCAGTTTCACTTCACTAATTGGAGTACCCAATTACGAAGGTAAACACTGCAATCTGAAGTGAGCAACTTTGTTGTTTGTAATCGATAAATCTTTATGATGTAATATCAACTATCTAATATTATGCGAGAACTTCTAGTTTTTTTTTAAAGACATTTCCACTTTTCATAAGTTTATCGGTCGCCAGATAAAAAGTATTACCTACCTACCTAGTAACTTACAATAAAACATTTTTATTGACTCTCAAAATGTATTTTTATGCGTCGAGTTCAATGTCCAATAAAATACATTTCGCATTCTGTAGGATCACGTTTCCGAAACCGATATTTTTAGTCTTTATCTTATTCTTCTTTTTCACATTGACATCTTGAACACCAGCATCAAAAACGAAGAAGTTTGCATTACGTACCTGTTGCTCCGAAGTTACTTCTTCTCTGCTGCTATCATCTGAAACAATAAAACAACATTATATCTCAGTTAAACTCAATCTACGTTACAGTTAATCTAGCAAAAGGAATCAATTACAGTTAAACCAGTCACAGAGTGGTCGGATGGGCTAACTGCATCTAAAGAGCCGAATGCACACAATGCCACAGTCTAGTTCCCAACCAGATCTGAAGATGTCGCCTTAGCGGGGGCAACGACCCCGTGCAATTTCACGCTTGCCTATGTGCTGAGTCAAATGTGACATGACAATAGGCTCCTCCACATACAAGGAAAAAGCGAAATTGGATTAACAGTTACTGGGAGATACACCCCGCTAAGCACGCTACAGTACCTGCTTAAGTTTAAGCAGGAAAAATCTTACGCCCGTATTCACAAACATTACTATGAGGTCTCACAGAGCGCGTGAAGGCACAAGGTGACATACGAACCAATCACAGAGCTTTATTCAACGCTGTGCGTTCGATTTGCTGCTTTACTTAAGCAAGCATCGTTTGTGAATACGGGCGTTAGACTAACTGATCGATCTACAAAATCACACCGATTCTTCAGATGCTACACATATTTTTTTTTAATGCATTTATGTATTTAATTATCCTGCTTTCGCCTCCGAGATTTATTTTACCATGTAGTACCCCTGTACGACAACCCAATCCGCACACAATATTCAGCGTAGTAGTATTAAAAAACAAAAGAGCGGGCAACCCCACCCCTACCACGCTGTGGGCTCGGTGTCCGAGCGGTCTCATTCCTTTGTGCGCACGCGCAACGACCGCACGCAGTATAAGAAAAATGCTTAAGTGACGTCACCAGGACGTTTTTACCGACAAAAAACGTAATTATTTTAAGTTGTGCAGTGTAGTGACGAGAATTAGACCCAACAATTGAATGATCAAACGAACTTACCAAGTGAAGTTCGATCTAAATTATCCTGTTTTCGCCGAAGAGATTTAAGGTCCCTCCCAACCCGAAGATTTCTATATCTTCTTCCCTGGAGGTAAACGTCAATGTCATCTCTTCTCTAAATATAATGAGACCGCTCGGACACCGAGCCCACAGCGTGGTAGGGGTGGGGTTGCCCGCTCTTTTGTTTTTTAATACTACTACGCTGAATATTGTGTGCGGATTGGGTTGTCGTACAGGGGTACTACATGGTAAAATAAATCTCTTCGGCGAAAACAGGATAATTTAGATCGAACTTCACTTGGTAAGTTCGTTTGATCATTCAATTAAAGACAAACCCAAATAAAAATCTTGTCATTCTGTTAGTACCTACCTCCTATTAGCTTGTAACTACATACATTAACATTATTGAACAAACATAATAGTGTTAACGAAAATAGCCTCACTTATTACTTATTAACGACTAATTACAAGGGTAATAAATATCCTGCCGTAAATCATGCTAATGCTGAGGTATATATATATTTGCCATCAGTTAACCAGAGGAGCGCTACATGTAATTTTATAAGCCATAAAATAAAATTGCCTATTACTAATCATCGCTCATCTACTTGGATTTTTGCAATTTTCCACGCTAAATACTATGTATGGCGATTGACCTCATATTTTTATTGGACGCAGTCACGCGTATGCATTTTAGTTAATTTAAACGTATGGTCAATAGCATTGCAAAAATTTGACACTAATTTCGTTCGTTTCTCCTCACCATTTCATTTTAACAGTTCAAATCAATCTGTAACAATATTCGTTAATTGTATTTTAATCCTAGCAGCTTATTTATTTATTGTATTTGACAGTAGAGTCGATCTCATCATTGTTCGTTAAATCATTATCATGGTCTATGTGTAAACGTTTACTTCAACACCAAGAGAAAGTGACAAATAAATCCTCATGTAGGTATATTAATTTATTAATATTAGTGACCTGACCTCGAATTGCAAAGCTTAATATTTTTAGGTAAAGGGTACACAAATACTCACAATACGAGTAAATAATAATATTATGTATGTCACTTGAGTCATTCATTTTACTATCATTCTAAAAATACGTGAAGGCTCAAGCTATCACCACAGCTATCACGCAGTTCATGAATGTAGAATATGTACGTCCATCAGTACAAATATAGCTTCCGATAAGTAATAAAGATACAAAGCGATATTGTTTATGAATATTACTTGTACTAATGAGTCTATTAGATACAAATAACATACTAAAACAGCATTCAATAAAGTAGTTGAGAATATAAATCAAAATTGATGAGAAAATCTTAATGAAGAGTCCTATTTCACTCGCAATGTTACGATATCGGCAGAATCTGCGAACCGTCCCACTTCTTCTGATCCTTGTGAAAACAACTGAAGTATTACCTACTCCAAAAAGATAAAGATGTAGGTAGGCGAATGGCGAGATTTGCTTTGACAGCGCCACATTTGCACAGTGCGTTCACCCCCGGCCGCGCGTGACAAACCCATCTCGGCATAACATTATAACATACATTACACTTTTCCACCTAACCGACCCGAGGAAAACCCACAAGCTCTGTGGCCACATAACAAGACACAAATTCAAACAAACAGATACTTCTGCACCGGACAATAAAAGTTGTAAATTCTTGCCGGGCCTCCAAAGAATCTTCTTCGAATGGGGCCCGTTCCACAATCTGATTTCCTTGATTGTAACAAAAAATTAGGCAAGCATGCTTTATAGCGCTTTGCAAAATGCGGATTCTGTTATCTTGCTAATTTATAGTTCACTACCTTCCTATGAATATTAAAACAACAACTTCGTTCCTTTTTATGTATGTTTCGAGTATTTAAGATTATGAGTAGCCAAACGACTAATGAGAATCATCTTACACAACGCTTTTCAACCGACTTCAAAAAAAAGGAGGAGGTTCTCAATTCGACCCGTATGTTTTTTTTTTCTATGTTTGTTACGCGATAACTCCGCCAATTATGAACCGATTTGAAACAAATCTTTTTTCGGCGTATAGGTAATACCTCAAGGGTGGTCCCATTTAAATTTAATAATAGAAAAAACAACCCCCAAGGGTGGAAAATTGGGGATGAATTTTTTTATACGCAATATCTCCGCCGATTATAAATCAATTTGAACGATTATTTTTTTGTTGAATAGGTATTATCAAAAGGGTGGTTTCATGCGAATTTGAAGAAAATATTTCACCCCCAAGGGTGGAAAATTGGGGATGAACTTTTTTATACGCAATATTTTTAATTTTTAGTTTTTTTTTGTGTTCACGCATTTGAAGTCGGTTTTATTTTTTTAAAAAGTTAATTATAGTACAAAAAGATTCCCATTCAGTGGACACAGCATTAAACTCGAAAAATATAAAGAAATTGTTGTAGATATGAGTATTTTCAAGTATTTTCGTATCTAATAAATTAATGTCACTGTTATGAGTACATCACAATCAAATACCTTAAGTCCTGTTAACACAAAATTAAACCTTAATAACGACAACGATGTAATGTTTATTAAACCATATAAAATTAAATAAAGCCATTATTAATCATGTTCCCAGTGAATATTCTGTGCAGAATGCAAGAGAAACAGTTAATAAATACTCTACGAGCGGTATATTTTCGCGGTAGAGCTAAAGGGCAAAGTTGAGGACTCTCGCCCCGGTAACTAATGTTAAGCTACCTCAACACGCTGATTAAAGATACCAAGTTCAAGGCTGTAAGGCTTTAATGATGTAATAAAAAACAAGCAACATTTTACACGATAAGATTTATGTTCGGACTCATTTGGTATTCGTTGACGACTGTTTTTCTTTTATATTAAGTACGTCAACATTGATAGTGTCGTTACTAGAGTTAAATTTGAATAAATCTTAAACTTCTGGCCATAGCAATTACATAGCAATATTGATAATGATTCTGATCAATAGCATCTGAATTTATCTATTTAGATAAAGAAATAGGGTGCAAAGTAACGTAACGTGCGTGACTAACTGTGATGGAATAGAACATCAGGACTTTAGGCAGTCAGGAAGACCTCTATCTGCCTGAATTTTGTGAAATCTATGAGTTTAGCCTTGGAATACTGCCACGAAAGAAGACTAATGTTCACCACTAAAAGCAGTCTAGGTGCCTCAATAAGAAAAGTCTTAAATATTATTTATCTGGCTAGCTGTAGCGACAAATGAGAGGGCGGCATGCGGCGACAAAAAGCTGTATCGCATCACGTGCGCGCTCGGAGGCACGTCCACGTAATGGCCCTAATCAATTTGTGATCAACCGCGAGACCTCCGAAGGACACAGCTATGTGTCTTCTTAATCGACTGAAACCTTAAGAAGGCTGTGAAGAAATTACATAGAGACTGAATCTTGGAAAGTCCAAAAATAAATAATAGGACGCGAAGTGCATTTAAATAATTTACGAGGAAATTTAAAAGTTTAGAACAGCTAGTTCCCCATTTTGAGGTTATGAGTCTTGGCCAGAAAGCTTCAAAGTTTCTTGCCATGTATTTTTTCTAATCACTAAGAACCTTCTATTCGGTTACCTATATTCGTGACTGTGTAACAATTTGTGGTAAAACAGCAAATCATCCTGAAAAACCTTGGGAACCTAAAGATATAGAGATAATAACGTTGTAAACAATCTCCTGAAATTCCTGTAAAGTTGAACTCAGTTTGGTGTAAATTCCAGATGAATGACTACAGTTTGTTTTTATCAAGTTTTTGTAATAGCTTCGTCACTTGTCCCGCTTATATTTATAAAATATTCTCAGCGAAACGCCTTTCAATCAAAACAACTAATGTTAAGTAAAACAAAATTAAGTAAGAAAAAAAGTTAAAAGCTACGACATTACTTCAACCGCAGGATAATGGATGTAACGAAAAAAGTTAATCCGGCTCTTTACAAAAACGTGATGTGAACTATAATGTTAAGGTTACTTTTTTGGGATATTAACGATGCAGACAATTTTCTAAGACAATCTACATTCCACACTCCTTATGATGATGAGAGCAAAAAAGGTACATTTCAATTTATTTTTAAAATTATGAACGCTCGCT